TTTCTTTCTTTCTTTCTTCCGTTCTTTCTTTCCTTCCTTCCTTCCTTTCTTTCTTTCTTTCTTTTGCTTTGCTTTGCTTTGCTTTGCTTTTCTTGTCTTGTCTTGTCTTGTCTTTTCTTTGTTTTCTTTCTTTTCTTTCTTTTTCTTTCCTTTTCTTCTTTTTCTTTCTTTTCTTTCTTTTTCTTTCTTTCTTTCTTTCTTTCTTTTCTTTCTTTTCTTTCTTTCTGTCTTTCTGTCTTTCTTTCTTTCTGTCTTTCTGTCTTTCTTTCTTTTCTTTCTTTCTTTCTTTCTTTCTTTCTCTCTGTCTCTCTCTCTCTCTCTCTCTTTCTCTTTAAGTATATCTTTCTCTGTCTTTCTCTCTGTAGAGCGCGCTCTGATCGAGCCAGCCAGCCACAGAGTTGACAGAGTTCAGGGGGGCGGCCAAGAGGAGGACAAGGCCTGGACACAGAGCCCCGCCACAGAGTTGACAGAGCGCGGCCAAGAGGAGGACAAGGCCTGGACTCGACACAGAGCCCACACAGCCCAGCCACAGAGTTGACAGAGTTCAGGGGCCAAGAGGAGGACAAGAGGAGGACAAGGCCTGGACACAGAGGTTGACAGGGTTCAGGGGCGCGGCCAAGAGAACTGGACACAGAGCCCAGCCACAGAGCCCACCAAGAGGAGGACAAGAGGAGGACAAGGCCCAGCCACAGAGCCCAGCCACAGACGAGTTGAGGGGCGGCCACGAGGAGGACAAGAGGAGGACAAGAGGTGGCCACAGAGCCCAGCCACGGAGTTGACAGAGTTCAGGGGCGCGGCCAAGAGGAGGACAAGAGGAGGACAAGGCCCAGCCACAGAGCCCGGCCACAGAGTTGATAGAGTTCAGGGGCGCGGCCAAGAGGAGGACAAGGCCCAGCCACAGAGCCCAGCCACAGAGTTCAGGGGCGCGGCCAGTGAGTGTGGCCAGCTCTTTTCTTTCTACGATAGAACCCCAACAGTAAACTGTTTGGGGAAAAATGTGTGTTTTAACCTCACGTGTACTTTCATACGTCACTTGCGCGTTTTTGTCATAGTCCCTTTTCGGAACTTGTCGCGGCAAATATGCATATTTACCGCGCGTGATTTCGTCGGTCGATGTAAAACACACTGTAATTACGACTTCAGAACTGATTCGGGTATGAATCGGGCATGAATCGGGTGTGATTCGTATGGCCATTAGATTCTGCACGAGGGTATGAATCGCTCAAGTCGAACTTCCAACCACTACATCAGGAAGTACACGCCAAAAAAATACAAACCCATATGTATATATATATATATACCGTATATAGTGTATATATATATTACTAGTATCAAGCCAACCACATGTACAATCCATCCCGAGGCCAAGCCTCCCGTGGCTCGCGCAGCAAATGTAATAGATGCAAGGCCACTGCACCTCAAGCTTGGAACAGAATTGGTGATTTATTAAACTAAAATTGGAACCGATTTGGCTGAGTTATGAACTAATTCCTACCTAGAATTCTGTTCGAACAGCCTACCTGAAAGCATCCCAGTGTGCATGGAAGCCGCCTTTGCCAGCCGCTACGCCAATACAAGCTGACAGAGTAGCAACCACATGCTGCCACTTATAAATACAACTCTCTAGAAGGAACTCTTCTCATAACCACCCTGCTTCCCGCAGGCGCCATGAAGGCATGCGGATGGCTGCAGTGGTGGCGGTGGCCTTGGACGGTTCCAACTCGACTTCAACTCGACATCGTCTCCCCACAACATGGTCGAAAAACTCTCAAACCATCCGGTCGAAAAAAAGGGATCAAATCTCAACAAAAGCTCTCCGGATGAATTTCTGAAATTTGTAAGAAATGTTCATCATGGAGGCCATCGCTATTAGGTTGGAGGCCATTGCTATTGGGTTCGCTGTGTTGATTTATGTATTTTGAAATTCCGGTCATGACAGCGTCCTCAGGGGCCGCCGACGGGGCGCCCTTTAAGGCTTGCAATCTCTCACGGGCATCGCTGCCGTCCTCCACAGTGACCTTCGCAGAACATGAAACGCACAAAGGAAAACGCAAAAAAGGATATCTATAGAGGTTGTTTCCGGTACAGTACATGCGGCAGGATACAACATGCGGCCGGGTTGGCGCTGTCTCACTCGGCTCCAGACCCAGAGCAGTTCCCGCACCTGGAGCCGCAAGGACTTGCAATTCATGTATAGCGTCGGAGATTCTGTGAGCATTCTCGTGTGATCTTGTGTGTCTGTGTGTGTGTGTCTGTGACACAAAGGTTCAATCTTCAAACCACAAAAGTCCGACAGCAAGTGACACCAACCGCCAGGCTTGGGCGCACCTCTTGCCATTCGGAACTGGCGCAAGGATCTTCTGCATGTCCCAGGAGCAAAGCTCCCCAGACCCTCAAGGAGCTAGAGCTGGTGTCACACTCCGCACTTCACACACACAAAAAAGAACCGCGATACCACCAGGAATGAAAACACATGACAAGTCCCAACATGCTGGACGCAAAGGATGCACTCATCAATCTGGTTACCATAACAGACAGTACAAACACCCCGCCCCAGAGCTGGCAATAAAATCCACAAACAGTTGCAGTGGTTGGTTTTTGATTTCCCGTCTTGTTCCCAAACTCCTGTCTACTTGGTCGAGCTCCATTCAACATCGTTTCCATTCAACCCCCTGGCAAACTGCACGTGCGGGCTTGGCGCGGCACCAAAACAGCCACATCATCACACAGGCACATGGTCATGAGGCGACCAGTGTGGGCACTGGTAAATCATCGTCACACGCGCGTCACTGTAGCAAATCGAAAGGGTGTGGAACTGGAGCAGTGCATCCGCATACGGATACAGACGGGGACCCCACAAGAACAAGGGGGTTAAAGATTGATACCAGCGCCGGTGTCCGTGAAAGGCGCAAGTCTTGTCTTTTTACTGTGGTGGAACGGTTTGTCTGAAACAAAAAAGTGCAATCATAGGATTTGGACATACAATACATTGATCCTGCAAACCTCGGTATGCATTAAATATCATTAAATGCCCCACAGAGTGAGAAGCTGTTTGTATCATCGATGATGAACACACGACAACTGATCATCATTTTCTTGGAAGGTTTCTTCTGACTCTTATTCAGCGTGCCGTGCAATCCATGGGTGTTGCAATGACTTTTGACCCTGCATGGCGAGATGGCGACCTAAATCAAACCACGACTCTGGCTCAACCGCAATATCATCTTCATTGATAACAATCACAACCGCAATATCATCTTCATTGACAACAAACATCCCCGAAAATTGTTCCCGAAACAAATTCCTGCGAGAAACAGTTCCTTGGCTTTTGCCGTCAGAAAGAAGGTCATCAAGCCCTCACGGACCCTCGCGTCTGTGCCCACACAGTGGCATGTGTAGATGTGAACTTCGAGCGGATGCGCAGGCAGAACCCTTGGAATAAAATCAGGAAGGGACGCTCTGAAGGCCTCAGCTTTTTCATGTTTCCCAGTTTTGCCTACATATTGAATACATTATTCAAAAACGCTGCGTTTGTTTTAAAAACCTCCGACTAAAATTTGAATAAACACTTACCAAAAAAAACTTAAGAAGGATAACTTCACTTTAAGTGACCTCCAACCTTGGCATTTCCAACATTTGTCAAGCCAGCTCAAAGAGCACTGCGCGTTCATATGGTCATGTGAGGTCCCGAGCTACCTCTCCAGCTGTGCCCATTCGAACTGTCAACAGCTGCTACAAGCGGGAGGGTTAAGTTGCACATGTCGGCGTGAAGTCACATATCCCCATGGGCACAGTTCATTAGAGTAAAGTCACCCTCCTCGCGAAAAGTCACCCAGAAAAAGTGAGAACCCCATGGGCACAGGTTTCGCAGGGACGGCTTCAATGCTTCTTCTAATCCAAGAAAACTGTGCGCACACTGCAGGAAAACACATGTATTGATTCATTTGCGTCTCTTCTAACAGTGATCTCCCCATGGGCACAGCCTTCGCAGGGAACCGTTCAGTTCTTGATCTCTTGAAGCCAAACTTGTGCGCACACTGACTGAAAAACACATGTGTTCATCGTCTGCAAACAGGACATGGCCATGGCATAGTCATTTGTGATTTCATGTTGTTGTTCAGAAAATTTGTTTCAATGGCGCACTTCTGCTTGCACCTTTTCTCCTACCTACACGTTGACGGTCACGAAGCGCTGTGCTCGGTTGGCACTCCACGCTGCGGCCCGGGACTGCCTCCCTTTGCCGGAGTCAAGCACTTCTGGGCCAATTACCTCCTTCCGCAGCAAATCTACCAATGGTTCTTTCTTTCCTTTCCGAAGCTCCTGCACAAAAAACCGGTAGACTGGCTGCAGCTTGTCACGCTCTGCTGCCTTGAACTTGCTCAGCAAGAACTGCACAGCGTCTGCCGGATCGTCCAAGTCCAGCTCTGGAAAGCGAGGAGCTTTGCAACGAGAACACGCTCCACCTTTGGTAATGCCCTGTGGATTTTGCACTTTGTGGTTAGGTCTCCCCTCACGAGACCCCACTGTAGCCCTGAGCTTGGACTCCACTTCAAGCAGCTCACACAAGGTCGCTTTGTCAAAGAGGGCGCGCAGCCGACGAATGCACAAGGCCGTGTCCTCCATCTGAGCCAATGTGCAATGGAATGGGCTCAGGTTCATTCATCTTCACGCCAGACAAGTTCCCTCGGCGAAACACCTTTTCGCTACAAAGACTGCGCAAGCACAGTGTTCCTAGACAACTTACTTTTTCATAAGAGAAAAGTTCACAGCACATCTCCAACAGCAAAACACCATGGGCACACTCATCCAAATTGAAAAAAGCACATCCTACATTTCTACACATACCCATTCCTGATACATAGACTGCATGGGCACAGTGTTTCTAGACGACTTCAGTCCAGCCCAGGCGACTTAAACCCTTGGAATAAAATCAGGAAGGGACGCTCTGAAGGCCTCAGCTTTTTCATGTTTCCCAGTTTTGCCTACATATTGAATACATTATTCAAAAACGCTGCGTTTGTTTCAAAAACCTCCGACTAAAATTTGAATAAACACTTACCAAAAAAAAACTTAAGAAGGATAACTTCACTTTAAGTGACCTCCAACCTTGGCGTTTCCAACATTTGTCAAGCCAGCTCAAAGAGCACTGCGCGTTCATATGGTCATGTGAGGTCCCGAGCTACCTCTCCAGCTGTGCCCGTGTCAACAGCTGCTACCTCGAACATGTCCAGTTGAGATTTTTTGCAAGCAGAAAATTCTCTCTTGATTGGTGTTTCTCAGCGCTCAAAAGGTTTCCTTGACGCGCCTGTGTCTTCGTCCGGAGCCTCATCCAACACGGATGTCTCGTCAGAACAATGAATTGCAAAGTGGCCTGACTGCGCCAGCTTCAGAGGCTCAATATGACCTTTGGTGACTTCCTGGGAACCACTGTCCCCGGTTCGGGAACGTTCGCGAGCTCGCCACGATCATCGATTCCATGGCTTTGCTCTGTGTTCATGGCATCAAACCATTTGCGCCGACCATCAAGGCACGCAAGCTCGAGAAACCCATGATGACTTTAGCGGGAAGGTGTGAGCAAAATTGTCTCGCAAAGTAAACTCGAAGGGCCTCGGCGCGAGAGCCCTGTAACAGCCATCCATGGTCCACGCTGAGATCACTCGCGGCCTGTTACGTCGGAGGCGCTGTCTGAGTCTGCTATGAATACGTTCCTGAGGCGATGTTCGGGTATTGCACGCATCCCGCGCTGCACATGGGAAAGTTTTCAACTGTACCAACACTTCGTAAAACGCCGGCAACGCATGGATCTGGGAACGGGCTGTAAAATTCACGCGGGCTTGCAACTTACTCACGTGCACAGTTGTGAGCACATCTTCTGTGTGCACCTGGCTAGCACTCTCTGGCCCGTCTTCCTCGTCTTGTTGAGGCTCCTTGTCATCAAAGTCATCATCTTCTTCCTCTCCACCATGACAGTCTTTGTCTGAGCGCCTCCATCTGGTCAAAGGGAACAACCGCATTGCACTTGACAGATAAGGCCCCTTTCTGCGATTGATTGCAAAAGCCTTGCCATTGCTGTTCCAGAGGCAGATTCTTGCGATCGTCTGAAAGAGGCCTTCAGCGTCACTTCAGTCAACCAAGACTTGGACCGGTGGTGGCACCTCCTTCAAACGGCACATCGCTGCATTCAAGACGGCGATGGCCGGTTTACCCATCATCATTGGTTTCATAGGGCTGCTCGAGCAACACAAGTTCTCAGAACCACAGGGCGTTGAACCTTGCATGATCAAAGCTCCGAGTGCCAGGTAAGAGCGCACTGACAGCCAAAGCAATCCTAGACCCCGGTTTTTTGTTCTTGGAAAGGCGCAACCGTCTTGGGGCGGTCTTCAGCCCAAATCTCAGGAGGAAACAACGCGAAATCAGGAACATGGTCTTGCCGCAGCCTAGCTGAAGCCCCTGAACCCCGCAGCCTACTAACAGCCGAGTCTTTCCCATTCTTGATAAACTTCTTGAAAGGGCGCTCACGTCAGGAGTCAGCAGGGTGCGATCATCCAGGTACACCATGCCAGCGACTTCGGGGTAAAGCAACCAGAGCCAGCGCAAGGAAAACTCGAGGGGTCCCCTGGAGGCTCTGGAAGCAGCAGAGACACGTTGCAGAGACTGCTTCAACTGTGGCAGTGCTAGCGTTACAACACATGTTGATCCGACCCATCTCTACTATTCGGTTAGAAGACTTTCCCCCAGAGGAGTGTTGAGAGGACCCCTTACCTTTCCCAGCACAGTCACCCTCACGTTTCCCGTGTTCTTGCCTTTACTTTTCCCTGGACCAGGAGAAGGCCAAGGAGTGACTGCTGGAGCTGCGTGAGTTACTCAACAGCTGCTGAAGGCTGAGTAGCAAACCTTTTCAAACACCCCTCCCCCAAAAGCGACTGTCCAAAACCTGTGCTTTGTCCAGGGCCACTGTAGCTCCTCCAAGGGTCCGAGCCAGCAAAGAATCCATCAGACCAATATCCGCTACCCCTGTTGAACCAGCGGAGTGGCACAACTGCAATAAATCAAATGCACAAAGCAAACACCGAACATGGCAGCTCGGTCTAAGCATTTCTCACAGGGCGAGCCCACGGATCCTGCGATCGTGGCTAATTCTGATCAGATCAAGCACCGTCAGGAAAAGACATGAGAGTGTATACGCTCCGGATGTGTGTTTCTCACACTAGTAAGAACCTCCCCACTTGATTTAATTTGGTCCAGCTATCGGGTGTGCACCATTATGTGGGGCAAATGGGCAGGCAGGCATTTTCACGTATAGGTGTCACTTTGGCTGAGAATGAGGCAACAAGGACCAATTGGCACCTAAAGACCTAAATGTGTGAAGAAAGTGTATTTGGCTAAATTGCATGGTGATGCAAAAGTATGGAGATGGCCTCAGAAGACCCACTCAAAGTTCATGAAGCGGGAGCTATTGCTTGGTCGAGGTATTAGCAAATGAAAATGCTGGCAATGAAGTGATCACCAAGGGTCAATGAAGGCTGATGGGGTGGGAGATCAGACCGTAGTCTTGGGATGGCTTTGCATAAGGAATGTCTCTTGCATAATCAGCATGGTGGGACATCAATGATCTTGGCCATGCAGAGAAGGAGGGAAAGGCGTCCATCTGTTGCGGAGTAGGTATTGTTTCGGAGTTAGACATGTAGCGATTGCGATTACAAGTGATTTGCTGACTGACAGGGGAGACTGGTGAGTCGAAGGCAGTTCCCCAAAAAACCAGGAATCGTGTGGCCACTAGGCAGGGGATGGAGCAATCAATGCGGCTTTGTCGCATCATGCATGACAGAGGAGGAGGTGGTGGCATTGGA